GATGAAGATACTGTATATGTTTTTAGGTTACACTTTGAAATTTAGGCCACTAGATGTCATTACAGYCTACACAAGAGGTCTCTAAAGCTTATTCATAGCCAATATKTTTAGCTAAACATGCCCTGCAGTTTGTACTGCATGATCATGTGACTAAAATAGACTGATTTATCAAACGGAGGATATTTTAAGGTTAATCTTTGCTCTGCTTTATAAGTAATCATTTCTAACCCCTGTGCACACTCAGCTAATTTAAGTCAGCACAATGTTATGTGTCCCTATAATAGACCATTTTGTAGTTAGAAATTATCACAAAAGCGGATGCAAACCTCAAGAGGATTTCTGGTAAACTTTCCCTTAGGATTATAGATGAGAATTTTCATAAAAATATAAGCTATGTATGTGCTTTTTGAGCTACCGGTAATTGATTTTGCACAATTACAATATAATTTTTTATAGCAACCTCAGCGTTTACCCAATTGACATGTGACCCAGAAGAGCTAGGCTTTGCTCTGCACATGCTCATTTGTGATACATTTCTAACTACGAAATGGTCTATTGCACTTCCTATAATGAAGGAAGGGGACCCCTTTCTGGCATTAGTTACTTTTTTATTACAACAGCAGATTCGACAGGAAAATGACACAATTTTTTTAGTTACTTTTGTAAGAATAATATCATGTTTAACAGTGAAAATGATAAAAACTCTGTTTTTCGCATTGTGTAACATTACACTCAAAACTACATGCACAGCAAGCCTTTACTCAGTCGAATTAGTTTAATGGAAAACTATACTGTATATACCAAGGAGCAAGTTTATGGAATTTTCCTGATGATGATATAACAACTTCCAGAGAACAATTTAAATGTTTAACAATACTGATAAAAGCTAGTTAATTGAAAACCTATGATCCTAAGCAATATGTATAAATTGTTATTCAAATGATGGACAGATGCTGTTTTTGTTTCAATGTTTTCAGTCTGTATTTGAATTTATCTTAGAAAAAAAGGGGGGCGATGTTATGATTTTTTTCATTTCCAAATAGTTTATTTTTTTTATTGTATAAAGAGTTTTGTTTGCTTGGTAAACGGTAAAACAT